GGTTCAGATGTCGTTTCGCGTGGCAGGTGCAATGGATTGTGCACCTTGTCAAAAGTGAGCAAAGCGTGAGGGTTTTGTCGCATTTGGCAGGCGTGGGAAATTTGAAGAGGATCTGCCAAGATGCATTTTCTGTGGCAGGCGCAGTACAAGAGACATGTTCATCAGAGCTGTTAGGAGGTCCGGGCGCTGATTTCCTGAGAGGGGTTGCATTTTGGAGCATCAGATGTTCAGGTTTGCTAAGATGATTTTGCGTGACAGGTGCAGCACTTCGTATGACCTGGCATCACTTTTTCGTGGCAGGCGCAGTACTTTAGACAGGTGGAATGGAAAAATCGCAAGGAAATGTATTGCCGATAGACTATATGAGTAAAACAAATGATGGTAGATAAACATTAGAAGAAAGCAACCGAGGGGATAATAAGAGCGACGGCGCATTTTTTCAGTGTTGGGGTAGTAGCCCCCTCGGCGCTGGGAAATGTGTTGTCTAGATGAGTATGATTCATGGTATATCGAAGAGCGCCTCAAGTCAAGCCTACGAAACTTTTTAGGCTGCAAGCATCTCCGCCCTGATGATGGAGACTTATCCTACCAGACGCCCCATATGAAGAAGCTTCTCCTGCAATCGTTGTCTTTGATTCTCCAGGTCACTTCTCCGGCATGAAGTTTCTTGTGCCCAGTTGGTACGCAGATGCCCTTCGGAAGTTTGGTCCCTTGGCTGGGTCGCAAGGACATCGGTCATAGATGATAGCCGGTGATGTGGATGGATGCAGTATTGGGGAGAATATTGGAAGCAAACGGCAGTCCAGCACCTCTTACAGATTCAGCTGATATATATATATATATATCCTAGAAATATGGCTCCAGTAGTCGGCGATTATGTTCCAAGCCTATCGCTATCCAAATACGGGGTGTCCGGTGCATCCGGTATTTATAAGTGGTACTACGTAGTCATCATCCAGATCTGAGTCACGGCAAAAAACAAAAAACCGCAGCCGTCGCAAAGCTAACAAGCCCTCGCCTCTCCGCT